AAACACTTTACTAAAAACAACTTCTCCAAAGACCGCGAAAACGCCTCATGACGTCACTTTTTTGCTTACAAACCTCGCGTCACGGTCTGCCAAAGTCAAATTTCTAAAACAGACTTCTTGAATTTTGATAGTTATTATAACAAAATGTATTTTTGTTTTATTATTGTTGTAAATAAAAAGAAGCATATTACAATACGTATGCATTGCCAATTGTAAAAGAACGACAGTCAGCATAGGTCCAATAAAATAAAAATAAATAGCAAAACTTTTAATATTTGCTGGAAGACATCCATTGGCATTGAAAATAACAAGTACTAGTTATTTTGTAAAAACTAAAGTAAGATCTGATAAGTTACCAATAGAAATATAAGTGTTTTGGTTATGTGGCAAAAATTTTACTTGTCACCTGTTTTAGTAATCGCAATAAATTGTTTGATATAATAAAAATTTTAGCTTTAAAACCGTGACATACAAAATTTTTCAATGGGTTTAGTAGTATATGTTGTAAGGATGAGACCTGCTTGTTTATTTACAGTTTACTCCCAATGACCAAGTGCCTGTACTTCAACTTATAATAAACTAATGAATGCAAAAAGAAAAAGACTGGCAAATTAATCTAGAGATGAATTCAGCAGAGTGAAGGTTGAAAGATTCAAGTTTATACAAGGAGAGTAATGAAAGGCATAGTTAAAGTTTTAAGTCACTCTCTTGCAACAATATTTTTTATGTTTGATTCATTGCTTGCTTGTCACCTAACAAATTTGCTAAACTTCTTAATAAGCGGTTTACTATCTGAGGAAGTGTAAAACAGGAAATAAAACACTACCATACTAATAATTTGTATTTATTCTATTGCTAATAAGATGATAATAAAATAGTTTTAACATATTTTTACTAATGTTACAACTTTATTAAGATTTGTTTGGGTTATGTTAAAGTAGCAATTTCTGTCCCGGTAACATGCTTCAGTATTTGTAAATTATTTTAAATCTTCTATTCTGAATGTAGCTTTTCATGGTCTCTTCATGGAACAGGCATTTACAATATAAATAATATCATCACTTTTTAACAGCACATAAGGCATCATCACCATGCATATCTTGAGGTTCTGGAATATATAAAATAGAACTATTAACACACTTCTAATACTTTTGCCATGACCATGGTTTTTATTTCTTTGATATCAACAATATGTAGTACTAAATATGACCAAGTATCTGAACTAAATAATGCATTGATTTCTTGTAACATAGCTTATTAGTCATACTAATATTATATATAATGTTTGTAACTTATCTACTTGTTTCTAGTAAAATAATTTGTCACCATCAAGAAATCTATCTTCGTTAAGTTCCTTTGATTAATCCAGTTTCCATTATGTTAAATCTTTTATCAGTAACACGAAATTTTGAAGAGAAGGTTATACTATCAACATATTATATATTTATTGTTGCTTGTGGATGGAAAGGAATAATTAAAGTACAAATAAATTATGAATACAAAATATCAATTTAAAAAAATGTAACTTTTATTATAATTATAAAGTTTGGATTTAAAGTTGTGACAAATACTGACAACAGCTGATTCAATGTGACCAGACGTAAATTGAATATTAGCTACTCAAATAACTTTTACTATTTTTTTTCAACATATTGATCGAAAAATTTGCTCGTAAAATATGTCGTAAATATAAAATCACTTAGTAATGGAGTCCTCATAATATAACACAGGAAAACTCAATTCTTATAATCATTTAAAAAAATTGTAACTGCAAAATGCACTGACATTCACTGAAGCTGGTCACACTGCCATGTTATATGCGAAGAAGTGACGTCACCGAGCTCTGATTGGTGTTTGAGATCGATTAATGGAGGGTAAAAAATATTGGAGCGTTTTTAATTTATATTTAATTTGAGACAAACATTCAAGGTCTCTAAATGTTATAATAGGTTTCAAAATGCTGACTTTAAAATATTAAACATAACTTTATTTGGATTTGTAACATTAGGAAACATCCCCATTAGGTGTAATTGTTATATTTATTAAAGAAAAAAATGTTCAAAAATATCACATTTTTGATTTTTTTTTTAATAAAAAGCCCCACACTTACGTCACGCTTTAGGCTATATATTTTCACGCCATTAAACTTAGGGGTAAATATTTTGGATAAAAACCCTAATGTGGGAAAGAAACCATAAGATGCTGCCAACATCAAGGAAGCAAGGTTGTCATTATGTCATGTCATTTTGACATTTGCAATTGAGAATTTGACAAATGCAAACAATTAAATAAAATGTTCATAATTTCTTGCGGATGACGCCGCACGGGAACAGCTAGTATAGTTATAAAGTGATTAGTTGCAATGTTTTTCTTACCAGCCTGGGTGACATTTTCCCCACTTGTCGACAATATTTAAACGCCACTCAACTTTGAAACAGCTGAATTATGAAAATAAAGTAATTTAGTTTACAGCTTGGAATAAATCAGTTGCAATAAGTGGTTGATTAACATAGGAACGACGCAGCAAGTACAGGCAAAGGGTAATTTACTTTTATGATTATTACCTTCGGTAAGGCAAGGTATCGTTAGTCTTGTTGCCAGCGAAATGTCTTGATAAATGCATTTGTAAAACATGTATTTTAACGTCATAACTGACTTTAAGGAAATCTATCGTTTACCCGTTGCATCAGTAATTCCAATAAGCTTTCTACGTAATTAATTAACAATGACTAATTAGTATTATAATAATATTGTCGTAACAATAATCGAGCTGTTTCCAGAATTTTCTATCGCAACGCCATCTGTTGGTGAGTAGAAGAAAAGATATTCGTGAAAAGACGTCTGGAACATTCGAAGCAGCATCTAGAATGTTCTATAGCTAAATGTATGCGATTCGAATAATCGAGATTGTAATGGAACAAAATGACAAAAGAATAAAAAAAGAAAATATAAATTCGGCATTATTTAAAAAAGTAACAAATACAACTGGTGTTATAAAAAGGGATAAATCAAATTTATGTAACAATTGTAAATATAACCTTTTATAAGTGGCTGATATTGAGATTCAGGTTAAATTGACGAAATTCCACGCCATCAGCCAATACGGGCACGTGAGTGCGTTGTCAATAGAGTACAGTGTGGTCTCATACAGCCAGCAGTCACGTAATGTTATCCAATTTCCGATTTATGCTCGCTACATTTTTTTATTCAAAGCTTTTTTATCAACATTTAGTACTTATTGCTTGTTGAACTACATTGATTCATATGACAGAATGGCAGTTCGACAGTTTTATGTTTATTATTGGAATATTTATCCATAATACAAAACGTGTAAAAAAACCGCTTGACTAGAGATGAATGTTTTATTTTTTCGCTAAATTGATCTACATTGCCCATAAATAGTTAAAAGTTACAGATTCGTTCTCTAGCTTTATTTGACAGAGTAGGGGACGTACAGAAAGATTTCCCCTTCCTATAGCCCTCTATAAATACTCATGCTTAATTCTTAAACAACATTTAAATGTTTGTAAGGATCTGCGTAGTAATAAGAATTTACAGGTAACAGCTTGGCGCAGCCTGATGTCAGCTGCCTACGAATTCACCAAAACCAATGTTTGGATCAGCATTATTTCTTTAGTAGGACATTAAGGGTCGTACACACGTCGATATTGGAGATTCGGTTTCCTGAGTTACTCAATGAAATTTTATGATGATTACAGGAGATAACATAGATTTCGAAAGATTAGTACACTCGCTGTTATCCTACATCAGGTTTTCGCGTTTCTCTCGATGTAGACTATTACATTAAAATGCAATGCTTTTATGAAGGAGTTTGTTTTAATGGTAGAGGTTACTTCCCCAATTAAAGGCTAAAGGAATTCAGCATTTGTGGAAGTGTAAAGTTTGTTTTTGTGAATTAAATATTTATGTAATTATTAACAATTTAAATCCGCAATTCATCTTCTGCACCAATTACCTATCCCATTTTATTACGTATTTTCTATTCTATTTTTACTTACATGAATTGAAAGATAAGAACTTTCATGCTAAATAATACCGTATTTCGAACATTCACGACACAAAGCACCTTTGGAAGCGGTATTGGAGCAAGCAATAAATCGTAATTCGCGATAACAGTCGGACTTATAATAAAAGTGAGCCTTTCTACAAACAATTTACTACCATTACGTAATTCAATCGAACACGATACGATATGACTACTCGTAAGTTACTTTTTGTATCAAACAAGCAAGTAGAAAACAACTGCTGTATGTAGTTGTTCACAACAAACAAATGACTAACAGATATGTTTTCTTTATAGTTCTCGTTAGAAGGTTCTAGAACCCGGCCAGGAATCGTTTCAGGCGCATTTTCATTTACACGAGGCGGTCTCGCCCACATTTTCAAAAGGCCTTCATAAATATTTTCTAAGGAGAATTATGTCAAGTGTTCTTGAAATTTGGCAAACACTCATTTAGAGTGGGCACAGCAAACTCTTCTCGATCCAATGATATCTTCAAGTTTGTATTACGAACTCAAATTGTTTTCTTGTTCAGAGACACTCTATACCGATAGTAATTATCTATGGTAAACTAAAATACATTGACGAAGTTTCTCCTTCCATTTCTTTCTGCGTTTACCTTGAAAGATTTTTAGTTCCTCGAAATCTCTTTGCATTGTTTGATAGTGAATATTGTTTGCAGTGCCGACGTCGGACGTGCAGGGCGTTCTTGGCAAGAAGGCATCGCTGCCGTGCGACATCCAGCCGTTGCATGCAGACGACGCAGTCGTTATGGTGCTCTGGTTCAAGGAGTCTGATGGGGAACCACTTTACAGGTCAGTGCGACGTTAAACAGTACGTTGTTTTAAATTAAACCTAGACTTAAGCTACGGCTAATGTGTTAAGGTGTTGCCTTTTATCGCTACTAGTAATCCATTCACTAGATAATGTATAAAATGTGCTGTGTTGTCCACAGTTACGATATCCGTGGGCGTTCGTATACGCAACCAAAACTGTGGTCTTCGCCAACGGTGTTCGGCAATCGCGCCTTCTTCCGTGGCGGGGCCACACCTGCCGTGCTCATGATCGACAACGTGGCCGCTGTCGACGCCGGCGTCTACAGATGTAGAGTCGACTTTAAGAATTCGCCTACAAGAAATCTTAAAGTCAACTTTAGCGTTATAAGTAAGTATCAATAAGATATTTTCATTGGAATTTTAAATAACTTTATGTTAATAAGTTTGTGTATTCTTCGTTCTATAATTTATCTTCTATACAAATACAAGAAATGCTTGAATTAGAAATCTCTTTGACTCGAAAGAAATTAAGAAAATTATAAAAACTAGAAGAAATAACAAACTATCATTTACTTCTTCTAGTTAATTTCACAACCGAAAAGAATTACAGTTGTGTTGCATAACAGAGGAAGAAAATTCCAGAATTTTCTTGTAATAAAAACTAACGTACGTGTTAACTTTGGGCGCAGTCCCGCCGAGCCGGCCGACGATTTACGACGCGAAACGCAGAGACAGGACCAAACTGGTGGAGCCATACAACGAAGGATCTAATGTTTTACTCATTTGCGAGGTGGAAGGAGGTTAGTAAATTTTTAACGACTCACTAAAAGTTTCCATTAGATGTTATGTTACGCACATAGTAAACATTTCTTACATAATTATTCTAAGGAAAATCTATAAGAATGTTAAAATGTGTGAGAAGACCCTGACCATCATTTTTGCAATTGTCTGATGATATAGCGATTTCTCCTTAATCACAGGCTTTACAATCTTAAATAGATAAGCCACAACTTTTGCTTGAATTAGAAAGTATGTTTCAACGATTATTTCCGAAATCAAAATATCATTATATGCTTAGATAAGATATTGAATTTACGTAAGCTTTGAATTTAAATGGACTACTAAAGAGTACACTGGGAATAATGTTAAAATAACTATGCATTATTATAAATCAATTGCATAGGAAGTATTTATGACAATGATAAGTAAAAAAATGTTAATATTAGATAATAAACGTTATGTTTATACATGGATTTGAAATTCCTATACTATCTTAACGTTTGTTTGATTTAATTCGATTTCAATAAATACTCGTAAACTCGATGTTACCGGAACTTTGGTGAGCGTTTATTGTTCGTAGTAAAACTGGAAAGTCTCCGCGAGTACATCCATCAATCTTTGTAACGATTCCCTGATTCCTCGATCAGATAGTTTGATGGATCATTTTTTATCTTCCCCGATTAGTGTTTGTACTATTGATTGACATCCCACTAAGTGTATATTGATAACTTCACCTTTTTATATCAAAATTAACATTTCCTGTTTCAAATCAAACTTTTATAAGTGCACAAAAATAATTGCAAAGCTAATAACCATCTATTTTTGATTATCAGCTTTTCTGAACAATTTTCTAATATAACTGTCTCAAAACTGGTTTAAGATTCAGTCACCACAATAAATATAGCAGCTATTTTTGACCGACTTCCCAAAGAGGTACTCAATTCGTCTGTATGTTTTTTATATATGTTACGACATAACTACGTCGCTAGTGGACCAATTTTGATAATTCCTTTTTTATACGAAAGGTTTTGTTTGATTTTTGGAGTCAAAGACTACGACGTAGTTAAATAGTTTAGCTCAAAATCGCGCGACGAAATTAGGGGTCTTTTTTGCTTTCTTTGCTTATGCCAAGTGAAATTTTGGTAGCACTAATAAACATAAACAACTATTTATGTTAATATCTGAATATGCGGAATTTCTATAGCCATCATTAATTTATGTTGCTGGAACATTGCAACAGCAACACTATTGCCACCCACTGGCTTTGTTTTGTTATCATTTACGACTCGGCCATTGTTTCAATCGACAACTCGGACACTTCCAATGTGAATAAAAGGTGTTTCTGTAACGTGAAATAGGATGGTAATGATAAGAATTATGTTGCTGTGATCGATTGTACATATTTTTGTTAAATTTATTATGGTGTGGAAACACCGCATAACTTTCTATGGCATAGAATTTTGAAATATCTTTAGATATAAATCATGTTTTCAAATGTCTATATCTTTTTCATCTATTCAATTTCAAATAAATTTAATAAAACGCTAAGTTAAAGAAGGTTAACCTCTTCAAATATTTTATTAATACTTAATTTGAAATCCTTTTATTATCGACAAAGGTTAAGATTTAAATTTGATATTAAAGAAAATCGTAAAATTCCAAGTTCATAAAATAATTTCAAATTTTACAATTATGTAAATTCTTGAATACCCATTTTATTAATTTTGACCCTAAAACAAACTGTATAAAATTCGGTTGAGTAATAAAATCCTTTGAAAGCCAATTAACAGAATTATAGGATTTAGAGTTCAGTTGTTTTAAAAAAAAATTGCTCGTAACAGAAGCTTAGTAAAAGACTTATTTTTTAATAAATACGTTATATAAGGGATAAATACAATGCACTGGAAACTTAAGCTCGCTAGAGACGTTCGGTTTTATAAGAAAAAATCGACTAAACTGTCAGTTTAAAATGAACGTATGTAGCAGGCTTTATACCCAAAACAATATATCTTTATTTACTGCAGTGTAATGAATTTTCAAACGTTCTTAACCAAAGGGGGTGTGTAGAAACGGATTTGACGCACAATTCTCTTCAGCCATATTTGCTAAAAAAAATCCTTGACAGACTTAACAGATACTAACGGAAGCTTCAATTCTCAGGTGTCCCAAGGCCGAAGGTGACGTGGTACTTAGAGAACGTGGTGATAGACGACTCGTATGAGCAGCGGCCCGACGGCGTCACCATCAACACGCTAACCTTCCCCAATGTGGGTAGACAGCATCTAAACGCGAGGCTCGTTTGTCAAGCCTCTAATACTAATTTAGCGCCGCCAGAAACCAAAGTACTTATCTTAGATATAAATTGTAAGTATTGCTTATTATATTATTTTTGAATATGCAATTTTTAAATGGTAAATATATATCTAATAAGTAATCATATTAATATTAGAAATGTGAAAGTTTGGATGGATGGATATTTGTTAGAGTTTGTAGCCTAAACGGCTGAACGGTTCTGGATGAAATTTGGCAGATGAGGATAGTCTGGAAGAACACATAGGCTATTTTCTTTCGTTTCTATTAATACCTCGCGGACGGAGTCGCGGGCGAAAGTTAGTAGTACATATTAACAACTCAAGAGAACTTTTACAAAGCCTTACATTGAAAGATTGAAATTATTTATTAAACTAAGCTTACATTTAAAACTATTAACATTAATTTACTTGAATTGTATTATTGTTCAGTACCGGAAGTAATTAGTAAGGTAACACATCTAACATGCACTTAATTAGTATTTAAATATGTGACCTAACATTAGCAGCGTTCCGCGTACTGTAATAGACTTCATAACATTAACAGTGTTACTGGCCGTTAACAAAGGAATATGATCGATTGTGTATTTAAATGTTAACCATAACGTAAAATATACCAAAAACAAACGGTATAGTCATACTGGCAAAATAATTGTTAAAGATTATATCTATTATCTATAATAATACTAAACTTTAATATAATAAAGCGTAAACACATACTACTTAGTTACATAGGATGTCAGCAATCATAGCACATTTTTCGATAATTCTTTTTTTAATATAAATCCCGACACTTACGAGACGCTTTAGGGTATATATTTTCTCGCTATTTCATTAGGGGGTAAATAAATAGGAAAAAAACGTCATGCGGGAAAGGGACAAAACTACAAGCATCATAGAAGCATGATTGTTTTCTTATAGCTAAAGAAGGCCTTTGCCATTTACATATTTTAACATTTTCAAATATATATTTTTAATTACTGCGTATAAACAAAAAATAAAATTTCTTTATGCCACAAGGAGTTAAAAAAATGTGAACACAGTGAGAAAATAAAAAAAATTAAAAACTGTATATCGTAATCGTTTCACGCAACGCTACCATTTTATACGCAGAATTTTTATAATCTATGGAATTCTTGCACAAGAATTTAAATGTTGTCAATGGTTGTCAAATTCAAATTCAAATGCGATGCGAAGTTTAAAATCTTAAAGTGTTTTTAAATCATTGCTGGATAATGCATTCTTTTCGATTTATCAGAAGTGTACAAATTCGTGAAAAACGTAACTATATATAAAAGTTTCTTTGCAATTTCTTTAAAGTTTAGTATAATAATCCATATTGGATTGCAAGTGGATACAAGTATTATGAAATTAGTAAATACACATGCAAACTATGTCACGGATCCATCTAACAGATAAAATGACTATTTGTATGTGCAAACGTAACCTCAAAGTTTGTCAATAAATGCGCAGTTTTATTATAGTTTTATAGTTAAGCTTGTGCAAGACTACGAGTAATATGACTGTATATAAACTGTAATAACATCAAATACTTCTACAAGTAAAAATCACTGAAATTTAGAGTACTTTGTTATGTATTGTATGCAAGATTTATTTAATTCTCTAAAATATTTTGTTAGTCTTTAAAAACAAAAAGTTTGTAAAAATAAAATTTTCATAAACATTGCGAAATTTGTATGTGTTATTGAAATTCGAGGACAAAGCCACACGAGAACAGTTATTATTAATATAAAATCATATTTTATGTTAAAGTGCATAATTTGTTACAGTAAAACCAATCACGGTAACGATATTGACGAAAGAAAAGCAAGTATCTGCTGATAAGAGATACGAGGTGGAGTGCAAGACGACCGGCTCGCGGCCCGAGGCTACTGTCACGTGGTGGAAGAACAATAGACAACTCAAGCGGATGGCGAAAAACGTGAGCGACGTCTTTGTCTATCCCCACGTCTCCATTGTCTTAATTAATAGATTCCTTTCCACTTTTTCCACGAACCATAATGACTGTGTCGTCCTGTCCTTCATTGTTTCTGCAATGTTTTTGCGAATATAAAGTCGTTACTGCGGCTTCTTTCGCGATGTCTCCTTTTTTGTTGCTTTCTTATCGCTTTGTTTCCTTTTTGCGAAACTTTCAATGGAGAGTCGCTTTTTGAAGTCTTTGTTTTGAGTGCGGCGCTTTTTTTGAACGCTTCTTTATTTTTTAAGATTTATTTTACTTTTGTGTACAATTGTAACTTTTTATTAAAGGTTCTTTTTTAATTGCTGTTTGTTTAAAAAAATTACATCTTGATTTTTACAACTGTAAGGTAAATTTCACATAAGGTATCAGATTTAAATAACTTCGTAAATGTTATAAGATAACTAGTAGATTAGAGTCTACTGTACTAGAAAAAGAAAGTAATTAGATTTCACATTGACCAAATCTTAAAATGGTTCTGCGCGGAATGAAGCTTTATGACTTTATTGTTAAAATACATTATCGTTTGTCAGTTCTCTGAAAATAATGAGACACTGAGCGTGTTGAGCCTGGTGCCATCCGTAGAGGACGACGGCCGCCAGCTGACCTGCCGCGCGGAGAATAAGCATATACCAGACTCCGCAATCGAAGACAAGTGGAGACTAAACGTGCATTGTAAGTGTTTTTAATTTAATCTTTTGAAATTCTAACCACAATTTTGATAGCTTCTTTAAGCACTTAACAAACTTTGTTGAAGAATCACAAAATAATTAGAAAAAGTATTCGTGGCATAAATTCGATACTTCCTGGAAAAGAATTTAATAAATCTGGAGATGACACGTCGGTCACAAAGATTGAGGGCGAACTTGTACTACTCGAGATAATCCTCAAACTCCGAGATATTAATAATTTGTTCCTTCACAACTTTATATTGCTTCATAAATTTTAATTAAATGCTCTTGCTGGATTACGGACGAAAATAAAATTTGCTCGATGAGGTTTTATCTATATCACCGGAATTATTATCTCACGGTCGAGTGACGGAGAAGTGGGATTAGCGAAATGTCGACATAAACGTATATACTTTTCCTGGAATTCCGGATAACCAAATGCTTAGCTTCATTCAAGCTTCTAGAATTTTTGTCTGCCACTGCGAATATTAAAACTATTATTAGGTTCTTTATTTTTTTTATAATATAAGGTGGCAAACGAGCAAGCGGCCACCTCATTCCACCGAAATGGAAAGCGACCGCTTCATGAACATCCGCAATTGCAGATGCGTTGCCTACCCTTAATTGACGGAGGAGGTAACGCACATAAAGAGGATATTTCACCTTCCTAGGCGTCTCCTCCACCGTGAAATCCACTTTTTCTTTCCATCCTTTCCTCTTAAGAAAAGAGTGGAAAGGGAAAGGGACCAATACGCCTCTGGCACCACACTCATCTTGTGTGGTGGAAGTGAGAGTGAAGAGTGGAATTGCTTCCACTTCACGCCTGTTTTCTGTGTGGTCGTGATATTACACCGGGCGAGCCGACTCATTCGTGCGAAGATGTTAACGCGGGCTCTACGACAAGCAAATAATGAAACCAAGTTTTAATTAAATAATAGTAATATTGCCTTTTACTATTGTAAAGGGCAAAAATACTTCACAGGTGATCAGCGCCTCGTTTAAACTTTTGCACTAATTAAGAACTATTGTAATTCGAAAACTTTCAAATTTAAATTTTAATTGTATTTAGATTTTGTAGATCTTCTTAATTAATTCGAAAGAATCCAATTTATATTGTTAATATTTTCCAATTAAAATTAAACAGTAAAGGATTTAAACACTGCTAAAGACGAGGACATATTGTCAATTTGAGATGTCTTACAAGCTTTTTATATAAAGTAATATAGTACGTCCAGTCACATAAATGAACAATACCTTGTCCCTGAGGATAAAGCATTTTAATCAAATCGTCTTGTTACAGATGTGCCTATCGTTGATCTCAAGATGGGATCCAATTTGAACCCTAACGAGATAAAGGAAGGGGACGACGTTTACTTTGAGTGCACGGTGAAGGCAAATCCCAAGACACATCGATTGGTTTGGTTCCATGACGTAAGTTTGTGGCTTTTTAATTTTTTCAACAGATTCAATAGATTTCTGATACTAATTTTCTCCTAGACCCAGCTTTTATCTGGTTTCGACGACCCATTGCTTTTATCTCTAATTTGTGGACCCTTAACTTTAAATTTCTCTATAGATTGCCGAAGTTGACTGAACTTTGGACACATTTGTCAGTTTTCTTACCAATCCCGTTTTAATTTTTTACTTTTATTATTTTTTAAATAGGATATTATTCATGTTACGGTTATGATTAAATTTGGTGCTACAGTGAGAAATTCTTTGCATATCTCTCAGTCGTAAACAACGCAATATACCAGAGTCGAGCAATATCCAAGCATTCGCTCCGAGTCTCGTAGATCAGTTTCTCAGGGTAGCAGCTGTTTGTTTAATTTAGTACTAACTCGTCGGAGTTACTTACTGCGTATCGCGAACTAACGAATTAAATGTATTCTTGAATTGTTTCGCGAAATTGCCAAGCTTTTCGTTCTTACTATTTTAATGCTTAGACATAATAAATTGTTTAATTTGTAGTAATCTTAGTAACAAGCTATACCCGTGCGGCCTCAACAAAATAATATGTAAAAACTTTATTTTATCACTTACATTTATGGAATTTTCAATTGCAAATGTCAAAATTCAAATGCCCAAATGAAAACTAAGGCCCTTGACATTGTATAACAATTACCGTTACCGTGGCAATCTCGCTTCCTTGATGTCATGTAGTTTATGGTCTCTTTCCCACATGAATGTTTTTTTCTAATTTATTTACCTCCAAAGTTTAATAGCGTGAACTTGTATCGCCTAAAGCATGTCGTAATTGTAGAGTTTTTTAAACAAAGATTTATTTAAAAACATGTTGTGATTGCTGACATCGTACGCTAAGAAATATTGTGTTTACGCTTTCTTGTAATAATTTTTTTAGCAGATTCTAAAATCCCTACTTTAGTGTTACAATTGCAAAAAGAAGACATAAATCTTGTTTAATGTAATGTAACATTCAGTTCGGGAATTATTATTAGACATTTGGTTGTGTGGGTTGTCAGAACACGGAGATGTTCCACAACGAGGCGCTGGGGGTGATCCTGAGCGCGCAGAGCCTGGTGCTGCAGAGCGTGTCGCGGCGCGCGGCCGGCGACTACGCCTGCCTGGCCGCCAACAGCGAGGGCAAGGGCACCAGCAACCCCGTCAGCCTGCAGATACGATGTACCCTTATTCTATCCTTATTCTATTCTTACATAACACTCAATTTTAAATACACGAACGACCATTTTAACATTTGACACGGGCTTTCGCCTGCGACTTCGTCGGTTTGTTTGTGCGGTTTGTCTGTGAGTCTGTGTGCGCTAATCTCGGAAACTACTTAACCGATTACGATATGGTGTGTGTGGACACTCTTTTGTATGTGAAGCTTTTGCCTAATATAATATTCAAACCATCCCGATAAGCATAAGATGAAACGACAGGGGTTTGTAAATATTGCCTGCATCGAAACGCAGTCGACTATTTACCGCATTTAAAAAAAAAAGTCACCTCGATAGTATTCCCGTAAAAGCACTTAACACCGCATACTCTGAATCGCAGTGCAATTTGGAAGGTAATACCGGGAAATACTAGGCTGAGGGAAGCAGCGGCACTTCCGCAGTGTTAAGTGTGGAGAGAGCATTACCGGAGATTGCGCGGATACATTGCGGCGCCGCTAACTGAGAGTTATATCGCCAGCTTACTCAGCCCGCAATGCATAACGTAATAAAATTTAACAGCGGACAGTTGCGAGTTGCGACGCTCCCAGATAAATAAAAGCATTTGTTGTCGGAATTTAAAGCAGTTAAACTATACAATTTATAACATGGAACGTCTTGGAATTTATACAACATAAGGTCGTTTACTAAAAATATTAATTTGTAAAATTTGTTGTGTTTTTCACGGAATGTTATATTGCGACAATTCCTTTAGTCGTCTACAAGAAATGTTTTTATTACTTAGTTTCTCGCTGTCTCGATTTGTTGAATTTGTTTTTGAGAATTTTATGTGATAGTTTTCTCAAAACAACGAAACGTCTAGATTAGATTATTGTGAAAGATAGATTTATATATTCTAATTGTCTTTTATTCATATTACCGCTATATTAGAAAATTTTATTCAAAATTTCAAACAAGGAAATAATCAATTACTTCCGCAGGATTTTGAGATTATTTAGGGGTTGCGCATTGCGGACATTACCTTTTCAATTTTACTTCTTACTAATGTTATAAATGCGATAGTTTAGATGGATGGATGGATAGATGTTTGTTATAGTTTGTAGTCTAAACTGCTGAACGGATCTCGATGAAATTTGGTATAGATGTAGAGGATAATCTGGAAGAACAAATCGTCTACCTGTTTTCTTTTTCTTTTTAATTCCACGCGTTCGGAGTCGCGGGCGAAAGCTAGTAAATAATACATACATTCAGAGATACTATAGTTACATAAATAAAATAAAGTAATTATTACGAAGTTAAATATAATTCGAACTTTAAGGCTAACGCCACACAAACGATTTAGATTATCTCTTAAACGGCGGCCATGTTTAATCTTATAACTTAGTTGTTCACGTACAAAATGCAATTTACCCGCTGAGTTCAGGAGATCACAGTTTTGGTTAACCAGATGTCTCTCGAGGCATTAATTTTCTAATTAAACTGCCTGCACACAGTAATTATCTTAGGGAAACGCAGCCTCTTAAGCCGAGATTATACTACAAAGTAAGTGCTCCATCAATCTGCGCCTCCAATAATTTATTCCCTTGTTTTAAGGAATTTCGACCTTCAACCGCTTGGTGAAGTTTGTATTTTATAACGAGCCCTTGTTAAACGTATTGTTAGAATGGAATCGCTTTATTGGAGTTTTGAATAGTTTCCGGTTAAGTTATTGCGTTCATTGAAATCCTTTTATATTGTTCGATGACGTTTATTATTCATGTAATTGATACACTACGGTTGTTTGTTTTTGGAACAATGGCTTGTGATTATATCGTACTCAATTATGTTCAGTTATGGCACATCGATTATTCTAGCATTCAAATGTAGAAGAGAATATTCAATACTTTGACTTTTTATCCTTGAAAATTGTTTTTCTATTGATGTAAAGCCTATTGTACAGACGCTCCCGTGTGTGCGGAGAGGAAGGACAACGAGCTATACGGCGCCTTAAAGCACGAGACAGTAGCGCTGCACTGCGCGGTGGACGCAAACCCCGCGCTCGTCTCCTTCCACTGGACCTTCAACAACTCCGGCGAGCAGACTGACTTGCCTCCCAGGTATACTAAATTGGAGACATATCTCGTGTTACTATTTTCTTGTATTTCACCCTAAAATCTACTGTAGATTAGCTAAAGAGCTTTAAATGTGTCATCAAGTTTTTTTTTTGTTATTTATTTTTTTTACTTCACAGAGTTAGCTTTATTGATTTCCTGATTAACATAATGGTTGTAAATGGTTGAACTCAAATATTTCTTTTACCAATTTTTATTTTTACTTAGAAACTTTGGGTACTATAAATATTCACGTTAATTAATCAAATAAGAAAACCTTTGCAAAGTTTATATACAGTGGGTATCTTTTTTGCATTCTTGATTAACTTCCTTGAAGTTGAATAAGAATGATCGGAGCTTCTCTAAAAGGAGTCTTAAACCTGAATTCTTTATTTTGCGATGCAAGATAAAGCACGTTTCCACTTAGGATAACCAATAGTAATTCAATTTGTTGCTCTATATTTACTTTTATACTGACAAGTGAGGAAAATTAGTTAAACCCTTATAAGTTTTTCGGTTAAATCGATCGTGATGCCAGTTGGACAACAGTGCTTAATAACTGGACACTTAACTGGCATAACATTAACTGGCGTCAGTGAGTCCATACAATCTAAACCTGGTCATTGTCTGAATGTACTTACCATGTGTAAACCTGGCATAACGATTTTGTATTGATTTCGCTGCAAATGCAGTAGTAAAATTGTGGTAGAGTCTTCGTATGATAGGGCTCGCCTGATGTAATACGACCACACAAGACAGGCATGAAGTGGGAGTAATTCCCCGTACAGTCTGATGAGTGTGAGATCGGAGGCCTATTTTAGTCCCTTTTCTTAAAAGGAAAGATGGGAAAGGGAAGTGGAATTGACGGTGGAGACGCATAGGAAAGTGTAATATCCTTTTTATGTGCCTCTCTGTCGAATTGCTGATGTCTATGGGCAGTCGCGTCGCCATTTCGGCGAATTCAGATATCCGCTCGCACTTTTGCCTTATTAAAAAAATTAGCTGAGTAAAATCTCTTGTTGTATAGATTGTACAACAGCCACGGTAACACCTCGACGCTGAACTACACACCGACCAGTGACATGGAGTACGGGACGCTGGCCTGCTACGGGGAGAACTCTGTCGGACAGCAGAAGGTGCCCTGTCTCTTTCAGCTAGTTATTGCTGGTAAGTTATGTATTAAATATTATATTTTTATTTCAATTTAATTTGTTCATTCAACGGGCTTGAAACTGGTGTCTATACTGAATTTTTAAGTTAAGAGTTAAGCCGTTTTATATTGCTTTTTGTGTATCAAATGATTTTTATACCATTATTTTAAATATAGTTAGCAATCAATTGTTTTTTTTACTCTTTACTAGTAGTTATATGGATTAACTTTCTTGACAACTATTTTCTGCAATTAATAGTAAAATAGTATAAAAATCAAGAATTATAAAATTGTTACTTCAAGAACCAAACTGTTTTTAACTTACTTCTGTATACCTTGTTAATCCTAATATAATTTTAGTCCACTTTAAAATAATTATTTTATAGCAACTAATTGTAGTCTTCCGAGAGCACTTTGTTACGTCGCCTGCGCTGAGGAAGTAATTAAATGTAATATGCTCCTTACTCTACTTTCCTGTTATAATTAAAATCTGCCTTAAAGCAATAAAAATATTTAAAAAAGTAGGTACTAAGCTGAGTTTGTTATATTTCCAGTACAGTTATTGTTTCATACTAAATTTTAGCGTACTGCATTTTTGAAATAAATTGGTGCTTTGTATATGACGTAGGTCGACCACTACAACTGCAGAACTGCTCTGTGGCCAACCAGAGCGTGGATGCTCTGTACGTGGAATGTGTGGAGAGCTTCGACGGCGGCCTGCCGCAGACCTTCCTGCTGGAACTGCTGGAATTACCTTCACTTAAGGTGAAATTCATAGGATTACCTAAACAAATTGAACCTAATAACCTACTAAAGGAAGAATGTTCATCTTTATACTTTTTGGTCTAATCAATCTATTCATCATCACCAGCTTAATATACTTCCTCATTAAGGGGCTCAGAGTCTACCCTTAGGGGTGACTAAGTAGTCAACTACGCTACACTTCGGTTTGACTTCAGTATTTATGATTTAGCCGATATGTGCAGGCACGATGTTTTTCTTCACCGTAAAAACGTCAGGAAAATTATGTAGATATGAAAATTCAAAAAATCGAAAATCACATTGGTCCGACGGGATTCGAACCCAAGACCTGTAGATTACAAATCAAGTGCTTAAACCACTGCGCCACCGACGCACTGACAATTTTACTGATAAACGTGTGTACAAAAAAGTTAAACACTAGTTTATTATTATTATCCCTTCGTATGCACTCATGTTAATTAATTTCCGCGATTGTACATTTATTTTTTTCATGTAGGTTCGTTACAATATGTCGACGAGCCGCAGCCCGCCGGCGTGGGAGGTGCGAGGTCTTCCAGCAGGCGCGCGCTACCGGCTGGACCTGTACGCGCTCAACGCCAAAGGGCGCAGTGACGTCACCACCATAGAGACTGTCACGCTGAGGGGACAGGCAAAGTACACAGGTTAGTATACAACATACTTCATACTTATATTAATGCTAAAGTTTAGATGGATGTTAGAGTTGGTAGCCTAAACTGCTAGACGTTAAAAAAATAGCCTGCGTTCCTCACAGATGCCGTAGCTTTTTAAGGGTGGAAGAATTTTTGACCGGCTTCCCAAAAGGAGGTACTCAATTCGTCTGTATGTTTTTTAGGCCGAGTAGTTTTTGAATTATTTCAATACATACAAAAATACAAATCTTTCCTCTTTATATTATTGGTTTTCTATAAATAAGGGTGATAACACATTAAAAGCGACTAATGTGGCATCGCCCTTATTTTACAATAAAAGTAAACAATTACACACTATAAAACCACGCTTATTTTACTAACTTCATATTTGTAAAAATAAAAATTATAAATCCGTTTCTTCAATTTTAAACTATAAATAGTGCAATTTGAAGTGTAACTGCATTGAAATAAGCCATTTGCGTGTCGTTGAGAATTGGCAGGCGATCGTGTGCTCTCTTAAAACTTCCAACATCGCGAATATTTATTATTTAGCACGGCATTAAGCCATTTTGCATATCGCACGGAAACACTCGCAGAAATAAATTCTCCTTGAAAATATAATTTTAGTGAAACATGGTTTATAGTGTCACTTATGACTTAATATGTCAAAACACAAATATGTTTGTCTTATCAGAAAAATAACGATAAAGCATTTTTTCAAAACTCTTAATATTAGTCGATTTTTCAACATCAGAAATTCATTTGAATTTAATTAAAATCCGTAATTCTAACAATGTTTTGCTTTCCAGAAATATGTAAATATTTTTTATTAAAATGGAAAGTTATTTAGGTAAAATAAAGCAACCCTCTTTGTGTAGAATAGAGTGTAATTAAAATTTATGTTTGAAAATAACATACGCTCGACATAATTGTTCTCGATTAGCGGCCGCGCGACCTAATGTTGCAAATTTGCATATTAATGGAATGTGCCTTGTGTGAGGGACGTAAATCGACTTAAGCTGTCCCTTAACAGGAACACAGTATCTACAATGGAGACGAAAGATATTACTCTTAACAAACTAGTGAAATACTACGACTTCGAACAGCTGAAGTTTAGTGCACTTCGATTGAAGAATCTATACTAATATTATAAAGAGGAAAGATTTGTATTTTTGTATTATAACTCAAAAACTACTGGGACGATTTCAAAAATTAGCTATGTTTTCAGTGAGTAACATAGGCTATTTTAGTTATTTCACGCGGGCGAAGTCGTAAGCAACAGCTTGTTGTATAAAGGAAAAGAATTTTGGTTACAAAAGAATTCGAATCTAGGCATTTTATTATCGCAAACCATATCTTACCCCTAGCCTAGAGTTTAGTTGGAATGGTTAAAGGAAATATTAGTAAACTAGCTGTCCCCATGCTTAAAATTATGAAAATTTTATTTTATTGTTTACATCTATCAAATTGTCAATTGCAACTTTACTTCCTTGACGTTGGCAGCAACTTATGGTCTCTTTCCCACATTAGGGCTTTTTTCCAAAATATTTACCCCTAAGTTTAATGGTGTGAAAATATATCGCCTAAAGTATGCCATAAGTGTAGGGCTTTTTAATTAATAGAGAATTATTATAATATATATAGTAATAT